ACTACGCCTTTGTTTTTTTCCTTCTTTGCTTATGACATGATCTTGCCGTCTTGACGTGTTAGTAACAAGTGTCTGGTTTTTTTTTTTTTTTTTTTGTCAGAGCTAAACATTTTCTCCACCTTGTCTCTTTGTTTCCCTGCAGAGCAATATAAGCACCACTGGTTTCCAGACAGGCCCTGCAAGGGCTCAGGTTACCGCTGCATTCGCATCAACCACAAGATGGACCCCCTGGTGTGGCAGGCAGGCCAGCGCATCGGTCTGACCATCCAGCAACTCTACCTGCTGCTGCCCAGTGAGCTCACGCTCTGGGTGGACCCCTTCGAGGTTTCCTACCGCATTGGCGAAGATGGATCCATCTGCGTCCTGTATGAGTCGCAGCCTGGCCCGGGAGGAATGCCAGCGACAGCCACCACCAGCTCCCCCTCAGGAAACAGTGGGGCAGTGAACCCTATGGTGGACAGTCACATCAGCTGCAAGGAGGAACTGATGGTGCTGGGAAGAACCAGTCCCTCCAAAGGCTACAATATGATGACTGTGTCTAGTTAAAGCGGCACATAGTCACCCAGGCCTACTATTGTTCAGGGTCATGCCATGGCTGGTCATTTGGCTAGACCAGGGTGAGCCTTTTTAAAGCTAAGAATATGAAATGAAATAGTGAAAGAATGGAAAAAAGAAAAAACAAAAGAAAAAACAAAAACAAACAAAAAAAGAAAACAGAGGATGTGGCCTATCGTCCAGGTGATGGAAACCTTGTAGGTTTGCTATTTTCTACCCTCTCTCCCCATTATCATCTGTTCTGTTGTGTCATTGGATGAGCTGGGCACTCCATTTTTTAGGAGAGGCTTTGTGGAAATGGAACTGTTGGGGCAGCTAAACTAACAAACCAACCAACCAGGAACACCCATGGAAACTGGCTCCACCTACCCCTGCACTCTCAACTGTAAACGCCGGTGATCGGCTCTGTGTCCGAGGGGGCTATCAGCATTGACTTTGCACTTATTTGTGGTTACTATGGGTACATGTTCAACACACCACTGCAGAAACAGCAGTCCAAATTACATGGATACTTTTTTTCTTCGTTAAGAACTACCCCCGAATCAGAAAATTCAAAACTCTTTTTTTTTTCTTTTTTTTTTTTCCCCCCAGTTTGCTGTTTTTCATTTATTTTGCTTCCTGGGTGGGGAGGAAATTGAGGTTCAGACTGTGCCCAGTGAAATCCAAGCTCAAGGTAAAGAAACTCCCAATGAGAGCATCTCTATTTTCTATAAAAACCCTTTTTTGGACCACAGGGAATATATTTTCTTTATCTTTTAGCCATTGGATAAAAAAACAAAAAAAAAAACAAAAGGGGCTTACGGTCTTAACTTCTCTTCCTCCCCCTTCTCCTCGCGACAAGTTTAAAGAAACCATTCATCCCAACCTTCTCTCCGGCCTGTATGTAAGTGCAAGTGGAATGTGTTGTGACACCTGTTACCTATGGATACCAGCGTGTCCCGTTACACCATCGCCCTCCAGTCACCCATGTTTGTGTTGCTTTCTGAGGGAAGGGAAGTTGATCCATTGTTCCCTCTCGGTAATGAATGTTGTTGAAATTCACAATCAAGTCCCTGTGTTGTTTAATTTAGCCCCCTTTCTCCTTCAACATTTGTCTTGCATTACCAAAACTCAATGTGTAGCATGGGGGTGGGGGGGTCTTTTTAGCCAAATTTTGGTCTTGTGGCCCAGTTAGAATTAACATTGAATGCACTTTGACGTGAGATTGTGTGGGATGTGCACCTTTTGGAGAAAATCGCTTGCATTCCATCCATTCAAATGTCATCTTTTCTCACCGTTCTTACTGCCCTGCCCATTTTTAGCCGTTTGATGATACTGTAGCTCCCAATGTCGCCGTGGACTGATGTCTGGCCACGTGGGGAGTGTGCAACAATGGATTTCAAAACCTTTTAACACTGTATTTGTGAACATTTCAGAGCTGTTTTTTTTT